TTTATCCTCTTTTCCTCTCATGTTGTCCTATTTACCCTCTTTTCTTATTCCAGCTGATCAAGTGCGAAGAGGAGTGGGAAGAACACAGCACAAGGGTTCAAGGAATTCTATTGATTCTGTTTTACCTGATTTTTGGTAAAATGAAGTGGGGATTCTTGCTTTGTAACGGAGAGCAAAATCCTTAAATGCCCTATTAGTCTTAGGGACAACAAAAACAATGTGAATGATTTGTTTCTAAAACAAAAACAAGAGTTTGATGGTGGCTTAATTGGTAGGTCATCCACGTGCGTCATAAAACCTGTTTCTTCATTTCTTAAAAAAGCAAACCCCTTTCTCTTTCTTTACTCACCTTATAGTTCAATGGCGGCCCCCAAGGGCGGAGCGAGGTTTTCAAAACAGTGTTCCATGTAAATTTTCCCCTCCCATACTCCTTAACCCAAATATGGTTGGCCCCCTTCTATGGGCTCATTTGTATTTATTCCATGGTTTTTAAAACAGGATCGAACCGGATGGATGGACAAAAAAACCGAGAATCGGTCACCTGATTAGTTCTGTTTTCCCCCAAAATCGTTGTTTTGGTCAACAAACCACTGAATCGGCCAGTTAATCGTTCGAACGGTTTTGACTATTTTCCAATTTTTTTAATTTTTTTTTTGTTAGAACAGGCTGGCTGTTCGGGTCGAATGATCGGACCATTCAAACCGGTAACCAAACGCCTAACCGGTTCGTTGTTAAAAACCATGATTTATTCCCCCCACCCCTAATCCACTTTAGGTTTTGGCTCCCTCATGAAAATTTCTTGGCCCCGCCCCCAGTGGCTAATATAAAGAGCCATTTATCCAGTGCATGGTTAGATATTCGATCTGTTATGTCAACTCTGCATGAACCAACCAATGTTTTTAACCCGTCGTTGATGCAGCTAGTCGAACTGTTCGAATCGTCATCTGGCCAGGATTTCGGATCTAGTTTAGTCAAGACCCGACAAATGATAAAAAGCCGTTGACTTGGTCAAGAACCGCTCAACCCGGTGACCAAGTCGCGGGTTGCACACTCAATACATGCAAAGCTTTCGGAGGCCATAACTTTGCACTCCAATGTCCGATTGGGGTGATTTTTTTTTTTTAATTTTGGGTAATTTTTCAAGATCTATGCATCCCAAAGAGCTGTAGGTGCCTTGCCTAACTATTTTCGCGAAAAAAAACACTTTTTGACTTTAAATTGTAATTTTTATATTTTTATAAATAAAAAATTAAAAAACATAAATTAAATATAAAATAATACATATAACATATCTAAAACATATTTATACATTATTTATTGATAATATATATATACACTTAATACATATATGTGCTACATGGCACAATCTGAACTGTTTGACCTGGTCGATTGAACCGGTGACCAGTGACCCAGAGGAAAAACGGTTCGGTCTTTGTGTCAATTTTTAAAGCATTGGAACCAACGGTGGCTCAGTATATATATATATATATACACACACACACACTTAATACATATATGTGCTACATGGCACAATCTGAACCGTTTGACCTGGTCAGCTGAACCGGTGACCGGTGACTGGTGACTTGGAGGCAAAAACGGTTCAACTTTTGTGTCAATTTTTAAAACATTGGAACCAAATGATGGTGGCTAAATTGGTAGGGTTCCTTGGCTCATTATTGTGAAGACTTAGGATCAAATCCTACTGTCACCAGGGTTGGGGGTTACGGGTATAGGGACGAGCCATGGGGTAAGGGGAAAAAAACTCCATGCAACAAGAATTTGCAAGTCAATACACTGAAAATGTGTACCAAAATTTTCATTTATTTTTCAAGCATTTTGAAATTAATGTTCAAATCATACTCAAATATTCCTAACTTTTGGCTGTAATAAAGTTGGGCACAATATTCAGTTTAACATTTCGGTATATCTAAACTAAATAACCAAAACCGACGTGGGATATATATAAATTTCATTACATTTTTGACAAAATAAAATAAAACTATGACCGTCACATTTTTTAACACACTTCGGATCTTCTATCCAAAAGTTCTTCCCACATCCCTACATACACAACACTACCTTGAGTATTGCAAACATCTCCCATTGAATGATAAGATAGATATTCCCAGTGCTTTGTGGGTGACAGATCTTAGATCTTTTAAACATGGCAAAACGAAGAAAAAAGTAAAAGTAAAAATAATTGAGAGATATCCACAACTGTGCACCTTCTTAAAATTTCTATCAAGTAGTTGGAGGAATATGGGTTGCCTCTACAAAGTAAGGGTGTAAAAGGATCGAATTCGAATTGGATCAGGCAATATCCTAATTCGAATCCAATTAGAAAATCCAATATCTGAATTCGATTCGATATCCAACAGATATTGAAAATTAATATCCAAATTCGAATCTGATTAAATATTTGAATATTTGATTCGATTAATTAATTATTTTAAATAATTAATAAATATATAAAATAAATATTTTATTGATATAAAGTATATAAATATATAAATTATTTATATAACTTAATTATATATAAATTATATATAATATTTTATATATTATATATAAGAATTAAGTAATCGGTCGAATTCGGATACTTATCGAATTGAATTAGGTCATATTCGAATTCGACCAATTAGATATTCGAATTATCCGAATTCGATTCGATTATGTCGAATATCGGATTTGAAATCAGATTTTCGAATCCCGTTTGCACCCCTACAAAGTAAGCAAACTGATCCTTGTGGAGCTTTTATGAAGTTTTAAGATGCAAATTAGGAAGGTGTGCGGCCCACTAATTCAAAATGTAGTGGATCCCACGGCTCATCATTTTCATTTGTCTAACAATAGAGTGGTTTAATTTAAAAATGAAGGGTAAATTGGGATCAAAGATATAATTAAGTAAGAGTAGATGTGGAATAAAAATGGGGAAAGACCAATTTATATCATTTTGCTATTAAAAGTATGAATGAGAGTTATAACTTTTGTTTGACTAAAATATCCCAATTTTTGAATTTGATCCATCTATAATTATAAGGATAGAAATGTGATTTGAACAATCACTTTTTCCTTATTTGAACCCCTATCATGAAGTCTTATTTTAAAGTGTTAACTTCCATTAATAGTCATTGAATCCTATTCTTAACTAGAATACCCCTATTTTTTAATTTAGTCCATCTTTCATTGTACTACATTTCTCCTCATTCAAAGAAAAATAAGTGTGACAAAGAATAATTATTTTTATTGATGATAAAAATAAAATTTAAAATTTAAAAAAAAATCCAAAAATGGAGTTGTTTTCCCATTTGGTGGTGAGTCAACAATTCAACCTTTTGGGTCAAATATGTCAACCCTTGATGTCATAATTAAATAATAATAATAATAATTGAAATATATAAAAACAAGAAAAAATATAAAAAATATATAAAAAGGTTTATAGAAAACATTTGGGTATATCTGTAATATTGTATATTCATCATATTAAACAAAAATAAGTGTGACAAATAAAAATAATTTTTATAGACATAAAAAACAAGAACTTCAAAAGCATATTATTTACTATTATCATCATCATAAAAAATTGTCACATACACATACACACTTATTAGTCAATTAAAGTTTCTAACTAATATCATTTTATTCTTTCTTTTTTTTTTCCACTAAGCTATGTATGAATTATGAAGAAAACGAAAAAATACTAACGTTATAAGAGAATTTGAATAAGAGTTTTTTTCTTGATGTTGCTTACTGGATATCAGTCCGAATCAGGTACGCACAAAGTTGATTTTCATACAGACATTGTTCAGTTATAATCAAGTTTTTTTATAAGATGGAGGATGTGTGCCCAGATCACCAACCCAGAAAATGATAAAGATGATCTTAATTTAGAGCAATACTTGGCTTATATAATGTAAATTGTTTAGCTTCCATTACATAATAATGAAACTAAACAATACAAAGATCGGCAAGAATTAATGTTTGAAATATTTGTCATTCACCCATCAGGGCCATGTTTGAGAGTATTAAAAATAAGTGCTTATTTGAGCCATTAAGCACTTATTGGTATTTAGGAAATAAGCTTGAAATAAGTGTTTATTTTAAAAATAAGGATTTATTTTTTTAAACCTAAACTTTCAGCTTTTTTAAGTGCTTATACAATGAAGTTATTCAATTTTTTTCTTCTAAAATTACCTCTATTTACATTGAATTTTAAAATACCACTTATAAAATTATCCCTAGTTGAATTTTATAAAAGTACTTTTACAAAAGCACTTTTATAAAAGTTTTTTTAAAAAAGCAATTTTATAAAAGTACTTTTACAAAAGTGCTTTCATAAAACTATAGAAGTACTTTTATAAAAGTGTTTTTATAAAAGTGCTTTCATAAAAGTACTTTAATTTCATAAAAGTGTTGTTATAAAAGTAATTTAATAAAAGTACTTTCAAAGGGTATATTTTGAAAATTTGAAAGAAAATAAAGGACAAAATAGTCACAAAGACTTATTTAAGTGCTTATCAAAGAAGAAAAAAACTATCAAGCATCTAATATAAAATAAGTGCTTATTTTAAAAAATAAACACTTGAAAAAATTGAATGCCAAATGCAAATTAGTGATTATTCGAATAAACACTTATTTTTAACTTTTAAACACTCCCAAACATGTCCTAGTTTTTTGCACGAAAAATATTGGTGGTTCAGTGGTTTATCTTTATATATTAAAAACTTAATATTTCATAGACCTCCAAAATTACGGAATTGACTGGTGACCCTTCTGGATTCTGGTACGACAGAAGTAACCTAACATTGAGACTCCCTCATTAATGGTGGATCCACAACCGTCAATCAAAACAAACATAAATTTAAGACCTATACCACAATGAAAAGGAAAATCGAGTAAGGAGAATAATTCCTTACCAAGTGTCCTTGTCGTATCTTTTAATGCCTTTAACTTGTCCCAAGCTAACCCTTTCTTTCTACAAATTCAGATTCACTCTTGACAGCTCTTTTGCATAACATCGATCTCCCACACTACCATCAATCTCCTCTGTCTAGATCTCTCTCTCTCTCTCTCTCTCTCTGAGCTGCTGCTCTTGTCATGGATCTCTATTCCAAGAAATCGCTGGAGAGTTTCTTCGGAGAAGAACAGAATCCCATGCAATCACCCGCTCATCATCTCTCCATCATAGCCCACCAACAGATGGCTGATCAACGAGATCCCCAGTTAAGTCCAGAAAGACCTTCTTCCACATCCGTGGTCCACGTTTCACCCCCAAGCCCTGTCTCACCATGGACGCTCTCTCCTCTCCGAACCCCCTCACCATCTCTACTGTACCAGTGCATCGCCTCACTCCATCGACACGAAGGTAACATCTTCTCAATCGCAGTCTTCAAGGGCATCGTCTTCACAGGCTCCGAGAGCAGCCGCATTCGTGTATGGAGGCAGCCGGAGTACGTCGAGCGCGAGTATCTCAAGACAAATTCCGGTGAAGTTCGTGCCATCTTAGCCTATGGAAACATGCTCTTCACGGCACACAGAGACCACAAAATCCGAGTTTGGAATGTGTCAGTTTCTGAAAGCTTTCGCTCAAAGAAGGTGGCGACCTTGCCTCGACGAAGCCCGTTTCTGTTGTTCCCCAGGACTAACTCCCAACAGCACAAGGGCTGCATCTCCTGCCTTGCTTACTACCATGCAGAAGGGTTGCTGTATACTGGTTCCTGGGACAAGATGGTCAAGGCTTGGCGGGTGTCCGACAGGAGATGCATCGACTCCTTTCAGGCACACGAAGACAATGTTAACGCCATTGTGATCAACCAAGAAGATGGCTGTGTTTTCACCTGCTCGTCGGACGGATCGATCAAAATCTGGAGAAGGGTCTTTGGTGAGAGCTCTCATACTCTCACCATGACACTACGCTTCCAACCATCACCCATTAACGCCCTGGCCCTGAGCTGCTCGCCAACAGCTGACTGCTTCCTCTACTCGGGGTCCTCAGACGGCTTCATTAATGTATGGGAGAAGGAGGGGATCTCAGGTAGGTTTAGCCATGGAGGATATTTACATGGCCACCGCTTTGCGGTTCTCTGCTTGGTGGCCATAGACAAGTTGGTCTTCAGTGGCTCCGAGGACACGACCATAAGGGTGTGGAGAAGGGAGGAGGGCTGCTGCTTCCACGCATGTCTGGCGATCTTGGACGGCCATCGTGGGCCAGTGAGATGCCTGGCCGCTTGCCTGGAGATGGAGAAGGTTGTGATGGGTTTCTTAGTCTACAGCGCAAGCTTGGATCGTACATTCAAGGTCTGGAGGGTTAAGGTTTTCCAGAACGATACCAAGGTGATGAGCATGGAGGAGGACACAGCAGACAAGTATGATCACAAGACAAAACACTCAGCCATGGAGTACGAAATGTTTCCTGTGTTATCGCCATCTTGGGTGGAGAAGAAGCTTCAAGGTAGCCATTTGTATTAACATATGGAAAATTAATTATGAGATGTTAATTAAATTACTAAGCTAGGAAGAAGGAGAGAATTGTCTTGTGATCGAGACTGAGAGTCTTTCCAATTTGCCTATTGACGTAATAATTATTATGTATAATAGTCTGAATTGTTTTCATCTTTGCACTTTATTGTAATTGTATTGCCAAATGGCCCAAATTAGAACTGAATGGCCTCTAGCTAGTCCGTAGTATACACCATAGACCATAGAGCTAGACTTATTAAATTTTGTATCTTTAATTATTATGGTTGGACAATTAATGAATGATTTGAGCGATCCATCACCAAGGATGAGTGGACTTGCTAGCTGCAACTGCAACTGTGTAGCAGTAGTTTATCTAGGCCGAGTATGGATGAATGCAGTTGATGGGTCTGTCTGCAGGTGCAGATTCATGGAACATTCTCCATGCTCCATTGTTTTCACAGTTATGTCATATGTGCTGGGCCCAGGGCTACCTACTTTGAGCTTTGGTCCAGCTCCAATTAATTGGTTAGCTCCCTGCTGATCGAGTCCCTGCTCCATGATCGATCATTCAAGTGGCAGGTGGCTCAACGGCCTACATGCATGTAAAATTTAGTGCAGTCAGGTGCTAAAATTGTTGGCTCCTGTGCTTGCCTTTCTTGATAGTTGTTATATATCTATATCTATCTATATCTATAATATCTTTAATTATCTATAAAAGTGTGAATGGCGGGTCTTAGTTTCTGGAATTTTTATTGAGCAGTTTTAGCCCTATATTTTAGGTCTTTGGAGGGCATACATGTAACTATAATTTAATAAAATGTTGAACATTAATTGACACAATTAAAGAATGAATATAACTGGCTTTCCCTTTTGTCTAAGAAACAGCCAAATAATAAATATAACTGAAGTTACTTTCTTCTTTATAACTGATGTGATTAATTGACACTGGTTGTTTAGTATACGAAGCATACGGAAAAACACTTAATTCCCCCTTGCAACACACACGGAACATAGTTTTGAATTTTGGGTTTCCAAGTGCGTATATTTGTATCAATTGGAAACACTAGCAAGTGGATATTGAACAGTTTTGGATGTTTTCGAGTCTAAGCCTTTCATAAACGATTGTGGAAATGGTGACATGGGGACAATTGGTTTACTTATTCTCCTCAGATGATCGACTCCTGTAGTCGATGTGATGGAACAAGATACAAGTCATCCTCCTGTGAATTTCCATCAAATTGAATCGTCTAGCTTCGAGTTTTCAGATGAAATTTCATGCATTACTGCAAACAATGAATTTTATAGGAAAGTTGGCTTCAACAAGAGGGCTTTGAAGGAAAAAGTAATAAGAGCGGAAGAAAGGTAACGCTGAGTTGTTAACCCTTTTTACCATGGCTTGTTTGAGTAGTGATGGCCAGTATTTTCAACTTGTCTTTGACTAACCGATTGAACTGCTCAAACCGTCATCCAATCAAGATTCAGGATCCAGTTTGAGTAAAACCTGGAGAGAGGTTAAAAACCGTTGACTTGATAAAAAACCGTCCAATACAGAAGGCTGGACAGTTGACCCATTCAACCGAGTACGGGTTGCATACTAACCATGTAAGCAAACTTTGGGAGGCCTAACTTTGCATTTCGATGTCCGATTGTTGTGACTTTTTTTTTATTTTGGTAACTTTTTAATATCAATTTATCCCAATGTTCCATATCCCATTATTTTTTCCAAATCCCCTTTTTTGCCTCAAATTGCAATTTTTAATATTTTTTACGAATAAAAATTTAAAATTAAATTAAACATAAATTAGACATCTTATTTTTGTGCCCTTCATTATTTCAGGAACACTTCGAGTTTCAAGCATGCTTTATCTAACCTCTCAACTAACCTAGAGACATTTTTAGAATTTTACAAAAGTTAGAACCTCATAAATCCAAGACCATAAGTACGTAGAGCCAAAAAATACAAATCCCAAGACACCAAGATCACTCGAATCCAACACCATTTACCCTTTCATCCTAAGACCCAAAGCCGGAACTGATTCTGATCGTTTGATTAGAGTCATTTTGATCATAAACCTCATTTCACGTCAAATCAAAAATCTAAAATCATAGGTACATAGATCCCATAAATCCAAATCCAACGACACAAAGATCACACTAATCTGACACTGCTTACCCCTTCATCTTAAGACCTAAAGCCGAAATCGATTATGATCGTCCAATCAAGATCATTTTGATCTTGAACCTCAATTCATGTCAAATCAGAAATTTGACACCATAGGTATATAGAGCCTAAAAATCCCAAACCAACGACACCCATATCACTGAAATCCAACACCATTTACCTCCATCTTACGACCCGAAGCTAGAGTCGATTCCGATCATCCGATCAGTCATTTTCATCCTAAATCTCATTTCACATCAAATCAGAAATAAAAAACCATAAGTACATAGATCCTAAAAATCCAAATCCAACGACACCAAGATCACCCGAATCCGACACCGTTTACCCCATCATCCTAAGACTCGAAGCCAAAATCAATTCTAATTGTCCAATTGGAGTCATTTTGATCCAGAACCTCATTTCATGTCAAATCTTAAATCTAAGACCATAGGTACATGGAGCCCAATAATACAAATCCAATGACGCCACGATCACTAGAATTCAACACCAATTACCCCTTCATCTTAAGACCCGAAGCCTTAACCGATTTCAATTGTTTAGTCAGAGTTATTTTGATCTTAAACTTCATTTCACATCAAATCATAAATCTAAAACCATAGCTACGTAGAGCCCAAAAAATCCAAATCCGACACTGTTTATCCCTTCGTCTTAAGACCTTAAGCTGAAACTGATTCCGATCATCCGATTGAGATCATTTTGATCATAAACCTCAGTTCATGTCAAATAAGAAATCTGACATCTTAAGTATATAGAGCCCAAAAATCCAAATCCAACAACACACAGATCACTGGAAACCAATATCCTTTACCTCTTCATCTTAAGACCCGAAGTAGAGCCGATTCCAATCATCTGATCACACTCATTTTCTAAACCTTAGTTTATGTCAAATCAGAAATATATATATATATATAAGTCAAAAAAATGTTATTTTACATATTCATTTAATGTTTTTATACTATTATTAAAAGTGTGAATAATGGTGTGGAACTTTGTATTAGAATGCCCTTATTTTTTAATTTAATTTCTCTCTAATTGTGAGGGTACAAAATGTAATTTGAACTACACTAAATTTCTTCTCATTCAATTACCTCTCATTAAATTGTACTATTAACTCCCATTCCTTTATTAAATCCTATATCTAAGATATTATTACAAAATAAAAATATAAATTTTATCAATTAGATCTACATCCAACACTTTTAACGATATAAATACATGTTTTTTTTTTTCAATTTACACAAAATGGAACTATTTTTCCATCATGGTGGTGAGTAAGCAATTCAACCATGTAAGTTAAGTGGGCTAATCCATGATGTCATAATTAAATAAAAACTTTTAAAATATTGACAAAATAACAAATGTAGAAAAATTGGACACACACACACACACACATATATATATATATGTATGTATGTATGTATGTATGTATGTATGTATGTATGTATGTATGTATGTATGTATGTATTATTCATGTTGGAAAGCAATCCAAAAGTAAAAATTATTTTTGTGGTGGCGAGTCAACAATTCAACCTTTTGAATTAAATATGCCAACTTTTAATATCATAATTAAATAAAAATATAATGATACAAAATTTTGTAAATAACATTTAGGCACCTATCTAATATTTTATATTAATCATATTAAAAAAACAAGTGTGATAAATAATAATTGCTTTATTGGTGTTGGAAATAAAACCAACCTAAAAATGAAATTGTTTTCTTGGTGACAAGTTAACAATTAAACCTTTTGGATGATATGCGTCAATCATTGATTTCAGAATTAAACAATAAAAATTAAAAAAAAAAGATAAAAATACAAAAAATATGAAAAAAAACAGAAACTCTATAGAAAAACATTTGGTCACATCTCTAATATTTCATATTAATCATATTAAAATTTAGATACAATAAACAATAATTGTTTTTAACTTTTTATTGATGATATAAATAAAATACAAAATTCAAATTTAATCAAAAAGTGAAATTGTTTTCCTATTTGATGGTAGAGCAATACAACATTTTAGGTCAAAAGTATCAACTTGTGAAGTTATAATAGATAATAAAGATTTATTTTAAAAAGATAAAAACACAAAAGTATACAAAAAATATATAAATTATGTAAAAACATCCAGGTATATTTTAACAAGATATTTCGGTCTCAGACCAGACTAAATTTGCATGGGCTATCTTGTGTACACTTTGCCAGAATTAATTACCACTTCAACTCTGGCTTAGAACCCTCTTTTCCCTTATTTGCAAGTGTATATAATAAATAGCTTCAGTTCTACTAAAAAGGCATACAGATACGTGTACTCTTCAAATGGGTGACTATGTATCACAATTTTCCGCTGTGAAAAGTAGGATCTGCTAGTACTTAAGCTAGACTAGACAAGCGTTGCCCAGCTTTTGGCACGGCCGGCCGCTTACCAGCTTTTAGTTGGGTTTAAGTAAGCTTTTCTCAAGCTGAGACAAAAGCTTAAGAATTGATCGGCTTGAGCTCAGTCGTTTTATTTGATAAGTCTTTTTAGAAAGATATTTCAATAATTTAGTAGGCCAAAATATATATTGAGGTTTTATGGTTTTTGTCTTTAAAAATTTGATAAGCAGCTCAGTCTAATGGGCTTTTAAAAGCCTTTTTAGGATCTATTTATCACATAGAAATATCAGAAAGCCTCATTTGAAGTTTCCTGAAATTCAGCATTTTCGATCTTTTTGTGCACGTGTCTTCTTAGCCTTTTCAGCTTTTGATTACCAAATAGAAAAAAACCAATTTTTAATCTTCTAAACTTGTGGAAACCAAGAAGACAAGAAAACATCGCATGAAAAGACTTATCAAACGCCACCTTAAATATTTGATATCAGGCCCATTTAAAACCAAACCAGTAAAACATTACTCTGGATTTTCGCATTAAGTTATACCCAGTGCATTAACTAATATCTAAACGAATCAGGCTATTAAAACGAGTTTAGCACCTTATTTTTCCAAAGCCAGAAATTCTAATAATGGGAAATTATTTTCCAAAATGTGGAAATGAGTTGGATTTGGGGGGTCCTTTTTTGTTTGCATAATTTTGCCATAATAAAGAATGGCCACTCTGAGGCATTCAGGATATTTTACCCATAAACTTTCTCAACCCATATCCTTACGCACAAGGCATTAGTATTAGAAACATCTTCCTATGAATGACAAAAAAGATATTATAGTGTTGTGTAGATAAGAATGTGAGAAAAGTTGGTGTAAGAGATTCAAGCTCGCCCTCTGACTTGAATCCGCCACAGAATCAAACTTGTAAGCCCTAGATTTCTATTACACCAATCAATGACCCCAAAAACCAGGTAGAAATGGCTGTAATTAGGGTTAAAAAGAACTCTAGTGATCCGGGCGCAAGATCTTCCTTACGGTTTTACCCTGCTACAGATGCATCGTCCCTCACAATCCCATATTTCCATGGTTTATTAATTAAGAATAGGTCTGGTAATTTGGATGTATTAGAAATTCTCATCTCCCACATTTTAGACTTTACAAATCTGCAGAAAAATGAATTTTCTACAAGTAAGATATAGTTGTAATACATATGAGAGAGAGAGAGAGAGATTTAGAAGGTGTGAAGAAGTTGTCATAAAGGAAGCCTGCGAGCACTGCACCCAGAAGGGGTCCCACCCAGTAGACCCAATGATGGGTCCAGTTCCCGGTCACCAAAACAGGCCCAAAGGACCTAGCCGGGTTCATTGAAGCCCCAGAAAAAGGCGCAGCTGCCAAGATGTTGGCACCAACCACAAGCCCAATCAGTAAGGGGCCCAATCCATCTAGAGAGCCCTTCTTTGGGTCCAAGATAGTTGCGTAGACGACGAACAGCAAGGAGAAAGTAATAACCATCTCCATTATGACTCCTTGTACGGGGCTCACCCCACTTCCAAGTGTCTGTACCGGAATATCCTGCACCACATTAACTAAATAAAAATTAAAGAAAGAGGGTATATCACAGGAATTGGGACCTGTTCTTAACACAGTGCTCTTCACAACGGTTTCATAGACACATCTCACCGTGCATTGAAAACATTTCCTACAAATAATAACACATAAGTATGGAAGATGTTCGCAATGAACGGTGGGATGTGTCTGTAAGGTCGGTGTGAGGCGTCATCTGTGAGGAGCAGATCTGGTCTCATATCAGGGTAATCGGGTAAATTGCAAATAGGTAGTTGGACAGTCTCACTTTTAGGGCCTAAGCTTTCAAATTTATTATTTTAATACCTAAAATTTTAGAAATATACATTTAAGTCCAATTCCATTAAATTGACAATATGATAAAAAGTAAAATTATAAAAATACCCATGTTCTGACACTTGTTTCACTGTTCATCTTTCTTGCACCTTTGGATTACAGGTGCATACAAGCAGTGACAAAGTAAACTCATCCCAACCTGTTCATTGGAGATGTCTCGTTTTCAAATACTTATTTTGTCGCCATTAATTTGCGAAGTCCAAAAGTAGAAGACAGATGAACAGTAAAAAAGAGTAAAAGATATGGGCATTTTTATAGTTTTACCCCTCACCATAACATTAATTTAACTAAATTGGACTTATATGTATATTTATGAAAGTTGAGGTATAAAATTGGTACATTTGAAAGTTCATTCTCTAAAGTGAGACTACCCCAAATTACAGGGTAACTATATACAAGTTACCTTTTTAATAATAACATATACCCACCCTCAGTTTTTAAATTTACTCTTTATTAATCTGAATTAATCTAAATCATACCCATTCATAAGCTATGCTCAAACCTTTCTTCAAATTTATTCTTGGCATGCCACTTGGGCAACCCGGATAAAGTGTTATACATGCCAAAAAATCAATTATACGGTTGAGATCAAAAGTTGAATTTGAGATACCACATCTATGGGCTACATCAACAACTGAATGTTAACTCAATTTTTATTTGCAGCGTGCATTTAATTTGCATTTGTGTAAATGTATGGGAGTGCAAATAGGCTTAGTGTATATATATTCAAGTTTATTTTTATTTTAGATTTGACTATGTCTTATTTGTTTAAGATGGATGTATTTGATTGTGGTATAAATTTCATTTGCACTGGTGTAAATGTATGAGAATACAAATAGACTGAATATAAATTTTGATTTACTTTTTTTCTGCTATTGATTTGCTTTTACTTCAGATTCGACCTTTCCTTGTTTGTTGTCAAAACTAAAATAGGAAGTAAAATGGTATGATCTTGCTTTATATGCAAGAGAATGGAAATAGGAGGATTGTTGGTTTGGGAGTAAGGTAGGAAGCAAGATAATATGGTCCTTACTTTATAAGGGAGAGAACCGAGGTAAGAAGAAGGTGCATGGTGCAAATTTTACATCAGGAGATTGAAATTTTACACCATTAGTGAGTACAAATGAGATAAAAAGCACAAATTTTGTATCCAAGTGCAAATTGTAGTTACAAACAAACAAGTACAAAACTGAACCAAGTGCAAAATTGTTATCTGATTCAGATTTACATAGCAAGCAAAGACGGCTTTATGAGAAATTAAATAGAAAGTACGATGCTTTACCAAAATAAAAGTAGAAAGTACAGTGATGTAATCCCTACCTTATATGAAAAAAAAAGGAGGCATGAGGAGGGTTATTTATTTGAGAGTGGCATATATAAGAAGATCCCCAATTTAATTGACTTGTGAAAGAATTGACAGAGGAAGGTGGTGTAAATTTTGCATCAAATTTTAGAATGCAAAATTTGTGTTCCCAATAAATACAGATGATATAATGATTATAGAACTTGTTGTCTCAAGAGGGAGTGCAAATCAGTCATAAACAAACAGATGTGAAACTGAACCAGATATAAGTTTTGCACCCATTTATTTGTAACTGTAATTTGCATTCTCACCTGATATTTGCACTATACAAATTTTGCATCCTACCTTCCTAATCACTTAATCTTATTTCACTCCGAAAAAAAAAAAAACCATTTTGTTAATATGAAGTGGATACCACATCACTCCACTTCAAATACAAACAAATAAAACAATTAAATCTAATATCTATATATATATATATATATTAAAGTAATGAAATCAGGGCAAAGTCTTCCCCAGTCAGACATGTGGCTTATTTACATTTAGACACCTGTCTTTGCAAGAAGAGAGACCATTCACTTATAGACTAATAAAGCCCAAAGCCAACTACCATGGCCATTTCTGATTTTGTTTTCTCTAAACCTTCACATACGTGTGATACTATAACTCTTCATACCTGAGAAGTGGGAAGTTCGCACTCTCAATCTCTTCCTAAAAAACACACAGTATCAAACAATTTTCAATCTTCAGACGTGAGAGGTGAGAAGTGGGAAGTTGCCACTCTCAATCTCTTCCTAAAAAAAGCATTAAAAGCATTAATAATTAATACAATGGTATTCGGGCATGTACCATTGAAAGCATTAATAATTATCAAAATACTGATATTTACATTTTAACATACCATTAATAATTAATTATCAAGACCCATATCAGTTTTATTCTTTACATAATATTTTGTTACAGTTTAATTACTGTTAATTATTTATAATTAAATGCAATTTTCTGTTAATTAATACTCTTAATTATTGTGTGATGCACTGTTATTTACTGTTATTTAATTAATAAACGTTTTATACTGTATGGTGCACTGTTACATAATATTGTTTTTTAATAAATATCGTTAATTATTTAAAATACTATAATTATTAAAAATAATGTTAAATAATAAATACATTTCTGTTAATAAATGCTGTTAAATGTAATTTATTACAATTTATAATTAATTGCTGTTAATTATATTACTGTGAATTAATAAATACTTTATTTTTAATGTCTTTACATTAATTTATTTAAATACTTTAATTATCATAAATATTAGATGTATTATTGTTCATTATACTGTAATTATCATTTATTTATATTATTATTATTAATGCTTTCTAATTAATTAATATCGTCTATTAATTACTAATAATAATTACTCACTGAATTCATTACTGATAATAATTTCTTATAATAATTACTGCTACTTAATTAATTAATACTAATTACTAACTATTAATTAACAACGATAATTAATTACTAAAAATATTTACTTACTGATAATAATTACTTATAATTAATTACTGATACTAATTACTTACTTTTAATAATTAATTACTGATAATATTTGTACTTATTAATTACGACCGATATTTAATAATGATAATTACTATTTCAAATTTATTCGTTTAATATTTGTATTAATTCATAATATTTAAAACCGATCTATACCGGTTTTATTAATTGTTAATTAATTAAGTAATTACGCTAATTAGCATTTATTAGTTGCATTAACAATTAGTTAACGTATTTAGCTAAGTTAACTAATAATTAATTATTAATTAATAACTAAATAACTATTAATTACATTACTTAATAAATTATCATCACTCATTAATAATAATAACCAAAATTTCAATATTTATAAAAATTTAAAATAAGTAATGATTATTGAATATTTACTTTTTATACTTATTTTCAATAATAATAATATTATATATATATATATATATATATATATAAGTAATGAAATCAAGCCAATCTCCCTCCCAGTCGGACAAACTTCACTTTTCTGGAAAAAACCAACCCCTAGACATGTGGCATTGTATAACAGGTGCCCTATTTTCATTAACAATTCTTTACAAATAGGTGAGAAGTGGATAGTTTTTATTCTCGATCTATTCTTAAAAAAATGGAGAAAATAAAAAAGTGGTTATTCATACTCACTTCTGCCTACATTCTTCATCTAATCTAAGCAATTTTTCATCTCTCAATCTTCGTTATCTACAGTGCTGCAACCTTTCTGGATCAGGTTAGTTTAGTTCGTAATACATGCTCTGTTTTTTTATAGAGTTCTGTTCTCTTTCAATTTTCTCTTTAATTCCCTGTTCAATCTTCGCAAAAGTAGAGAGAATACACTAAGGTATACTAGAATGGTATACTTTAGTACATGTTAACAAGTTTTTGTAGTACATGTAGACATTGAAGGTCAGAATTACCTGCAATTTCTTCCCAAGATCTCTTCGCGGCTATACCATGTGAGTTCCAAGAAGCTGTCCGATGCAAATATTTGCGAATTTGAGCGGTTATAGGATTGGTATGAATTAGGAATTCACTTACTGGAAGATGGGTTACGTTCAATATTTCGACTACGTACAATTGACCGAATCTACACTCAGCCTATTTGCATTTGCACCAGTGCAAATGAAATTTGTACTGCAAATTTGGTTTTTGGTAAATCCAAAAGTATTGAAAACAGCGGTCAGGAGGGCATGCTTAGCATTTGACAATGTGGATTCACAGTCAAAACCAACTATTGGACCAATTCACGTGGACCTGGGTCTCCATCTAATCCAACCCAACCTGCCGATCATTTTCCCGGTCAACCTTTCCGACAGGATGGCCGATCTGGGTTTGAGAAATTAGTCTTTGGCTAAACAATTAACAATATGGTACAGAAGGGGGAGAAGTTACTCACCAACCCTCCAGTGAGATACTTGAGGAGAATACAAGCCAGAGAAGATGCCAACAATTGAACAATCCAGTACAGGATTGATCGGAATACGGTAATGTGACCACTCACTACAAGACCGAGGGTGACGGCAGGGCTAAGGTTACCGGCAGAGTTGCTTAAACCGGCGGAGATCATCACAGCCGTCACCAATGCATGAGCAACAGCCACGACCAACAAGCCCAACAGGGGACTCCCAACCATTCGATCTGTTACAGCATTTTCGTTGTCGTAATAATTATCAAACATGTGCAAGCAACATGTTAGCAGAAGATTCACGTACCAGCAGTCATGGCAGCTCCGACTCCGGTGAAGACGAAGAGGAATGAGCAAATGAACTCGGCGACGAGGGACTTGAGGCAGCCGGTGTCGGTAGCTTCTCGGGTGGTGCCAAACGCTATCTTCGCCATAATTTGTCACTGGAGCGATATTACCAACCACCTACACTTCCTCGCTGATAAGCAAGCCAGGCCGATTTATATATTAAAGCTGTCAATGGGTCGAGTTTGGTTTCGCACAGTGTTGACCAGTTTAATCGGGTCTATAAAACCAATTAGATCCGATTATACTTGACATCATGATAACTTGGAACATCATTTTTTGATAATATAACCCTATTAAAAATAACAGTAAATAGTAAATTGTTTATATGTTGATAAAACCAAGTATTTTTAACCAAAATTATCTTATATATTGTCTATAAATTTTGTCCTTTAAAGTTTAAACATAAAATATAACAAGAATTGCAAATAAAAAAAATTAGAAGACCTTTATATATTATTTACTGTGTAATCAATTTAGATCTAAATCGGTTCTGAACAGTAAGAATCGATCCCGACACAAACCACAGAACTAGAAACGAAATTATCAGTTTGATCGATTTGTATCATATAAACCCGACCCATTGACAGCTCTAAATAATAATGTAGTGTAGAGAATAGAGAACTCTTGGGTTTTCTACTTTTTCACAACTAGATCATTGGATGTGTGTGAAGGGATATCTCCAAGGTTTTTAAAACCGATCTGGACAACAAACCAGTCAGGGATCCGGTTCTTGGGTTAAACGGTCCAATCGTTTGAACCGAACGGATGGCCCGTTCTGAAAAATAAAAATAAAAAACAGTCAAAACCGTTGATCGATTCAAACGGTTCAATCACCTGGGTCAGCGATTTACTAACCAAATCAATATTTTTTAGCAAAAATTCAGTTTTGGAGATCCGGTCCAACCGTTTGGTCCTGTCCGATTTTGAAAATCATGTGGTATCTCAACCTTCTTGCATAGTTGCATATTATTGGTAGGAGAAGCCGTTTCAGATGTTATGATTTGTCATTTATGAGGATGGCCTAGTAGCCCACTACCTACTAAAATCCCTTCATCACTTGGCTGTGTTACTGTTCGACAATAATGTTTTTTTTTTTTTGTTAATAATGATTAATATGCATTATGTTGTGTAAAATACACTAAGTATTGCATTGGGCCCTTGCACCCTCGTACATTTGAGCCAACCACTGGCCCAGTCCTATTGTCATCATTTAATTTTAGCAGTTTGGCCAAATACTTTAAAAACCAATCCGGACAGTGATCCGGTTTTCTTTCTGGGTGAGACATCTCTCCTTTCATGGTGAGATGTTCCTGATGTACAGTTGCAATGGCTGTTGGGTCCGTGTGTTGGGACCAGATTCGAATTGATGCTTCGACCATCCAAGTTGATATTAGACCATCAACTCTTCAAGAGTGAATGATATCAAAATTTAAAAGAGTAAATTTATTCTCTCTCTCTCTCTCCCTCTCTCTACCACTGTCAAACTGTTAGCAAACGGATTGTAAAATTTTTCTTTCTTCTGTTTTTAGAAGAAGAGAAGCCAATGTTTGCACTACAGACTATTAGCTGTCCACGAGTGGTAGGCTTCGCCTGACTAATGTGAAGCCCAATTACAGCAGACACAGGAGGGTTAGGTTCATGTTTTCTTTTTAATTTCTTGATTTTTCTGAGTGAACCTTTCTCTTTTAAATTCATAAACACCAATCGGGATATATCTAATTCGTCAGTGATAAACAAAGTGAACCTCCAATATAAATACCAATCTCCACTGTCAATTTGTACTTTTAATTCTTTATGATGTTTCAGGGTTAGGTAAGGTAGAACAAAGATTGAAAGAAACTTCAAAGGGATCATGAAATAGAAATAAAATATTCCCACATCTGTAGGGAAGGAAATCAGGCTAAGCTAATATGGATCATAGAAGTTCAATTACAGGGCTTTGCTCTGTATGTGTTTTGTTTCTCTCTCAATTTATCAAAGAAACATAGTTCAAAGTTTTATACATTGAAAATGCATGAAATGAAAAAACTGCATTCTGCACGTATTAATACTTTGAACCTTTGTTCCGAAAACTGCTACAAGTTGTGGAAAGAACCTCCAACTATTTGACCACCAAGCTTTTTGAATAAACACAATGTTCCTTTGAATTTTTAAACCCTTCTAAATTGATAATATCTAAGGGTCTTTACTCGATATTGGTCCCAGTTGAGGTATATAGATCATGTTAGAGAATAAAAACCTATTCAGGGTATTAGAACCTATTCAGGGTCTTTACTAAATATTGACATCACCTAAGAGCTTAAACTTATAGATTGAACTGTTCCTTGACATGATATTAGAACTATTTGACAAGTGATTTAGCGTTTGAGCCTCCTTACCCCCATTGTAATTAAAATTTCAGTACAAGGTATGGAAAGGTCTGTGTTTATCCCACTTTTAAGTTCAATAGGCATTTGCAAGAGGGGTGCATTAGAGAATAAAAAACTATTTAAGGACCTCACCTAACAACTAAAGCATTTAGGTTCAACAGTTCCATGACAGATCAACATGCATGTTGATGGGAACCCATATGCATTGTTACTCGTATTGTACAAAACTCAACACTAGAAAATTAGTAATTGATGCTGCTCGATCCGAGGTAATGCTTAAACCAAGGTCAGAGTCAAATAATCCTGCTAACTGGGCGGAACCGAGGTGGAAGGACGAGGCCGCGCTCCAAGATCTGAAACCAAGAAAAGTCAGCGGCCTGAGGAGTTATCCTCGAGTAGATACTCCGACGCTCAAGTTAATCGAGAAAAGTAGGCGATTGAGCCAAGTAGTTAGAGAATGGTGCTAGTCGAAGCAGAGTAACGGTATGAAAAGCAAGAATTGGATCCGTTACTTTGAGAAAGAGGTACCTTTTTATAGCCAAAGATGTGTCCTAATCGGATGAGACTTCCGGAGTTATCGAGATGAGATTAACAACCAAAGTCTTCGGGATAAGACCTAATCCCCAGCGGAGTTGTCCTCATCTGTACGATGATCTCTTGTCTTGGTTGCGCTTATCCACATGACGTGGTGCCGACGAGGAGGAAGAAATAAGGTGAGCCACAAGGGGGCATAGAACTGACGTGGCCGAGGTGATAAGATGGGCCGCAGAGGTGACGCGACACTGACGTGGCCAAGGAAATAAGATGGCCACATAGACAACATGTGACGTCTGGGGCCAGCTCAACCATAAACCAAACAGTAATAAATCCTTTCAACTCACTCATTTGGACAGGAAACTTGGTGGAAACTCTCTAATGGCAATGCTAGATCCACCATGTTTCCTCAAAAGATGTAAAAAAGGTTGAGATTCTTAAAGAAGTGAAGAAATGAAGGGGAAGAGAGAGGACATTAAAAATGTACGTATATACCCGATAATTATCTCTGTTGCCATTGTCATCGCCTTCACTGTCACCAGCATGCCCCCCGAACAACACTTCTTATACTTTCTAAAGACTTAAATTTGATGTAATACATAACACCACAACATGATCTGCCACCTTGTCTAATAAAGGTCTTATGTCTTAAACATCAAGAGCCACTTGGGACACAACATGCGGTGTATCCTACTTGGTTGGGTTTTGAAAATTGAAGGTGCATTTATACCCTTCAAGATATCATCATCCAAGCCTTGTCTCAACTATAGTGTTGTGTTCTACATGATCCTGACCCAATCATACACTCTTCAAGGTATATTAATAACTATACCTTTTTTTGGCTTCAAAATTATATATAACATTTAATATTTATATTAAATTCATACTAGCTGTCTAGCTAAACTGTCTTTGTGAGTGCAAACCTCATTTCCATATATCCAGTATAAATTATGGATTAAAATTTAAGTTTTTCCGTCTTTGAGTTTCTATATCCATTTGAGCCCTTGAATTAATTGTAATTGTATTTCTGAGATTGACAAGTTTCCCTAGCACACATCAATACCATATCAACGCATTAGTGTATCCACCAATACATTTCTTAAAATTGCCTTTCTAATACTGTATGTATTACAGATACTTTGAACCTTGATACCAACCAAATTTTCAAGTTATTTTAATCATTTCTTATTTGCAATGCCGCTGGGTTATAGGAAGACTGATAATCAGCAAACTGCAGTTGATATTTATGAAGCGACCATATTAAAATCCCATTCCCTTAATTTGCAGGAAACCTATTCTTGCATGGATATTCAACATTTCTAGGTCATCACTCTCTTACATGTTAATAAGAATTAATAGTTAAGCTAAAACTCAAAGTTATTCTGAACCCATTTCCTCCTGAGCTTATCATCTTAAGACCCAACATTCGGTCTGCAAGATATGGTGATCATACAATTTAAGATGCAACAAGCATGATGGAACATTATCAATTAACACTTGTACTGTTCAGTTTTTGTAAGAACAAATGAATCCATGGTGAGAGAATCATTCAAGATTCAACTTGCATAAATTCAGGAAAATGAATTTTAGCACAACAGTGATAGTACCCATCATCATCATATACAAACCTCTGTGACAGATGAGCCTCACGGATCAAATATTCCCCCCATTCCTCAGAACCAAATTGTTTGACAATGTCCCGTGCATCAAATGAATCACTCTTTCTTCTTCTCTTTCTCCTGAATAATCCCATCCTCATATTTTTAGCCATAACCTTATATTACAATGAATAGAAATATTGCAGAAAACTGAAAAAAAAAAAACAGAATGTAGAGTATAAATACCTTTTTCTGTGTCTTGCATTCATAACAGTCGCATGTAACTGCAGTTAGGAGGGTAAAAAAATCATTAGTATGAAAAGGTTTGGCATGTAAAACAGCTTTACTAATAATCTATACTTCCAAATATCATTACAGATCAATAACCATATTTTCCTATGTGTACTTCAACTAAAAGTAAACAAAAAATACTACAAGCAAAATTCAAATTGGCATTGATTTATAAGTTATAACTATTAGATTTTCATGATTGCTAAATTGTAGGAAGAAGTCTTCACAAACCATAGGTACAGTACATATTGCATGGTTTCTCATAAAATGGACAACATGTCCATGATAGACACGTCATTGTCCAACATTCCACAAATTCTTGACAGTTCAAAATTTCTTTTTTATCTCCTAGCTTGTTAGACATAAATGAACAGCTAATGAAAATGATGAATGTATGAATGTCAATTTTCACATTGTTAAGAGGCACATGGGCAGGGGTATATATGTCTTTTCTCTTTATTTTATATTACAAGATAGAGTTACAGACGTGTCCCCACTTTAATTTGGCTGTCTCATACTTAACAATAGGCAGAATAGCCATTCTCATGTACCCAAAACTATAAATACAAACCTAACCACCTTAGGGGAGATCTATTCTTTTCTCCCCTCTCTTCTCTTTCTTCCTTTCTTTCTTGCTGAAGGCTGAATACCATTTACATGGTGTCAGAGACAGGTTCTGATCATTCTAATGGAGATCACAGACCTCTTTGATTCCTACTAGAAGGGTTTCTTCTCTCATTTTCTTCTGAGATGGTTATTCTTCTGCAGGTACAGGAGAACAAGTTCTTTTTCTCTTTCTTGTTCAGTTACAGTCACTTAGAGTGATCTGTGTGGTGGTTTAAGCCCTCCACTTGAGGTTACCAAGGAGAAAGTGCCGGTGAATGTGGTATGAGTTTGGTGGTTTGTGTTAGTGGCATCCAGATTTCATATGTTGTGTGGTTGTATTTTGAAACAGGTCTGTAGTGATGTGAACTGTGAAATTATTTATCTTCATTATTGCTGCTGAAAGTTGGTTTAGACATTTGGGATCATCATGGATGCATCTGAAGTGGTGAGATTAAACGAAGTGGCTTGGTTCAACCTAAATTTTCTGGTGTGCAAACTTCTATTAAGTTAAATGGGGAGAAGTATATACCTTGGGCCAAATCATTAGAAATGTTTATTAAGGCAAAAGAGAAACTAAAGGTACTTGAGAGATGGAACACCTGTAACTAGTTGCATATTTGATGGGCTCAAAGAAGACAAACACCCATTCCAGACCATGCCTGGGCCCAATTTCAATTCTCTCTCTTCATAAACTAAAAGCTAAAGAATTGGTAATCTGGATCCAATGGAATGACATGATACCTCTAACAACAGAGATAGAGACACCATGTCAAGTTTCTTTTTTTGGTAATAAATAAAAAAAAAAAAACTTGATTTTTTAACTGATAACAGACTTAAGATACAGAAAACAAAAGATAAAGAACCACTAGTCAAATGCTGGGAGCAAATCGAAGGCCACAGTAACAAGAACAGAAATAAGAAAATAGCAAAAACATAAAAGAATTACAAGACAACATGTATTGAAAATCAACTTCTCATACAGAGAGGATGTAAACAAAACTTAACTATAAGTGAAAATTAAGCATAAAATGATACGTTCAATTGGGGTCTTTCTGTGTAAAAATAGGTCATGGGGCTACCAGGCTGAGTCTGACACAGAAGTTTGCACACCATGAAGATGAGCTGTTGGTCCTGTTCATGCCTTCTTGCATCCTTTAATCTAATTAATGGATTGTTCTAAGACACACACAGCCCTCTCTTTAGCTTTCAAAATCTAAAAGAATTGTAGTTATGATTTTCTTTACAAGTCTTAGTGTAGCCAACTCCATATAGTTGGAATCAGGCTGAGATGATGATTTTCTTTGAAAGTTTTACTTTTCAAAAAAAAAAAAAGTYTAGCAAACTAAATTTGGTTTCCCATCAATTAGAAAAAGGATAGCAAACTAAATTTGGTTTCCCATCAATTAGAAAAAGGATAGCAAACTAAATTTGGTTTCCCATCAATTAGAAAAAGGATATCATGATAAGACAATTCAGAATAAAGTGAATCAGTCAATACACTGGGATAGCTAGTTTTTACAGGAATAGAAGTTTCCAAAGAAATCCTAATTTTACCAAGAAATGATGGATGTCTAGGTAACCATATATATGCAAAACAGTATGTAAGTCAGGGCTTTTGAATTGACAAATTGAACTCAGATTCTCTTTGTATTTTCTTCAAAAATCATTCCAAGTGCTGCATTTTCAGGAATGTCGGAACTGATATACTTTATTTTGTTGGTTCAAATTATATCACGTCTTCTCTGACAGTAGTTCCAAGGTAAATTGAACTAGACAGGGGAAATTAGCTCCACAGTATTACATGTCAGTCACATCAGCCAAAAGCCTGAACTGTATCAGCCTATGTCCATCAAGGAGATGCATGCTACAGATGGGCAAACCTGTTTCGACTGAATCAGAAGTAGTCTTGCTACTAAGAAAACCAGTGGTTCAAAATAGAATTCTAATAAAACCCACATCCAAAAGGACTATGCTTGGCTCTTTTATCACAGGACTTTGCTCCCCCAGGGATTTCATCAGCTTTTTTATCTGGAATCTCTCACTCCATACCCCACAAACACATAGGATACAGTTGTCATGGTCAACCACTCAAACTTATACGCATGTCTAATATAGTCAAGAGAAAACAACAATAAACAGAACTAAGAACAAAGATAGATAGGTAACCATAATATTTTACCTTCAGCTTTTGCCGAGCATCCTTCTCAAGAACAAGACCAGCTTCACCATATGCATCAAAAATAACTTCTACTGAAGCTCAAGAAACACAAAAGTATAGACCAAGAGTCATCATTGTAGAGAGACTGGGCAGAATGGGCCCTAGCCCATTACTATCTTATTGATTAGTTCCTTCTTGTTATTTGTTCTTAATGGGCCTTTTCTTTATGGGCCTTTAATTCTTTTTATGTTTTCTAAGTATGCTGATAAGGTGGACGCCCACTTAAGGGCAGACTTGTAATTTATGTAATCTTAGTAAGATTAATAAAAGATTAGAGTGGAGAAAGAGGAGATGATCGAACTCTTTCTTTCTCCTTCTTCTCCATTCTTCCTTCTTCTTCTTCTTGCTGTCTTCTTCTTCTTCTCTTCCTCTTCTGTTATAATCTGAATTATTTTTACTATTTTTCATTGGTCTGAATCACACCTTGGTATCAGAGCAGGTTTTCCTTCTCTTTTGCTTTTTTCTTTTCTTTTCTCATACACCTTTCGATTAGAGGAGTGTATGGAGAGATAAGTTGCTGATTATTCAGAGAACTTGTATGACTGGTTGGTAGAGGGTTTGGCGAGTCAGAATCTGGCTGTAGATTGCCAAGAAAGTGGGGCTGCTAATTTTTTTGCCCAAAACCCTAGCCGACTAGAGAGTTTCCAGTTACAGGTTAAAGAGCCTGTTTGGGCCTGTTAACTTCTTTTTTATTTTCTTTTAAGTTATTGCTTAGCTGGCCACCCACTCAAGGGAAGACATGTAATTAGCCTAATTAATTCAGATTAATAAACAATTAGTGAAGTGAGAGAGGAAACCACCGAACTCTCTTCCCCTTTCTCTTCTTCTTCTCCATCTTCTTCTATTCTGCTGTAATCTTCTTTTCTCTCTTTTCTTTTCTACTATAATCAGTATTTTTCTATCAGATTTAAAGGACAGATTTACATCTGGCAAAAAGTTGAGCCAAGGGTAATTTTCACAATCACCAAGTTTTTTGGGTAAAATGAGGCCAAGGATGAAAGGACTTCAGATGACCTCCTTGCCCGCCCTAAATGGATTACACCAGATCATTGGGTGAAGAAAACCCCTTACCCATCACCATGTAAAACTCCAAGGATACTTTTTTTAATTATAAAGAACTTTTACATTTAAAATCATAAAACAAATAAAGAGGCATCCTTATATTCATCTGGATACGACAAGCACGTAAAAGGCGGTTCTCGCCATCAATTTCTTCTACTGGAGTATAAAGAACATGGGCCTTTGCAAGTGAACCTCTCATGCACTCCTGCAAGGACATAAGCATTTACCATTAATATATTCTCCATATAGGTCATTATCATTTGTTAATAAAGTCAAATGTGATGGAACCAAAAGAAGGCACCATAAGATACATATAGACAAGCATAAACTATTGAACTTGAAACAATCCTAAATAATTAAGCTAACCATTTTCCACAAACCAAGATATCTTGGGCAAGTGCCTACAATACTGTGTCTGCAATTAAGGCCCCAATTACTTGCCACATGTTGCACATACCAAGGATCAAGACCTACCACTACATCAAGCCACTAGGAAGTGCTCATATGAAAAGCCAGCATAATTAAATGACTTTTAGGCATCTGATTCTGTAGAACTTTCAAACAGCTAGATTGGATCTATTCACCATTCAAATTTATATAGTACACACATTGATTTTCTTTCAAGGTGAAAGCTCAAATTAATCTCCATATTTGGATCCCTTAAATTGTTAGTCCCAAACTCCCAATCATTTGGATATGAGCATCTGGTGAGCTTCAGGCCTTCAGCCCAAACCTTTTCATCAGTCTTGTAGTTCAACTTTGCTAAATGTTAATGAAAACCATATGTTTATTTAGTTAATAACAGTGTTTTAAAAGGCATGGCGCTCCCAAAACGCCCTGAGGCGTATGCCAAAGGTGCTGACAACTCTGAGGCGTATGCCTCTTGTGCTTTCTTCATGAGGCATGCTAGAGGCATACGCCTCATGCACCTCATGCACATCTGATATAAAAAGAAAAAAAAAAAGAAAAAAAAGAAAAAAAAGAAAAAAAAAGGAAAGGAAAGGAAAAGTGAGATCCACCCCTTCCTCTTCATCCTGACACCCTCCTCCCCTTCCTCCTCCTAACCCCCTCCTCTTAAGGAGGCTCACGCCTCTTGTGTTCTGAACTACGCCTAACGCCTCTAGGTAGTGGAACGCCTCGTGTCACGCCTCTGCGTTTTAAAACATTGGTTAATAATAATAGCATATCTTACAGTGTTTTCAAGTGTGTTTGTAGAAACATAAATCAAGTGGTTTATAGATGTATGCATAAACACAACCGTAAAGCTTAGAACTAGGTGTTACATTTAAAATGTAACAAAGTGTATTGCAAATTGAAGGGCATAGCTAGAGACAGGCCAAAGGACATAGTTTTTTTTTTTTGAGTATAAAGGGCATGGGTCAAAGTAGTTTAAGGACACATAATTTAACTAAAGAAAAGCATAACATTGCCCATTGCAAGTTCCATCTATTTGGGATCTTGGGAAGGTTGGACTGGATACAGATCTAACCCCCTGGGTTCTAGCATGAAGTGGCTGCTCTCATACTAAAACCCTGTCTTTTCTAGGGGACTTGGACAGACACAGGATAAGCAATTGTTAAAATGTGAATGGACCAGGCCTGAGCGCCCGGGGATAATTCTGTGTAAATTCTTCAAATTGGGCACCCAACTTGCACCCCCAAGCTTTGTCATACATGTCAGTCCAAGATTTTACTATTGCACCAAACCATGGCTCCTTAAGTACTAGTACATTTTTTCTTTTTTTTTTTTTTGAGAAAAAGAAATTTCCATATCCATGCACTATTAGTAAAAAGCAATGAATTAGCAGTCCCAATGTCTTTCCTTCCAATAACAGTATTTTTCAGTAACAAGGTCAAAAAGATATGTTAAAGCAAAGAAGCAGCAGAAAGAATACAAAGATTTGTATTCGGGCCCAATTGGTATTGGTGATTCACTAAGGGCTGAAATCATGGCAATGCTTGAGGGGGAGTACAAAGGGCAAGGTGCCTGAACACAAGAAGGATAATTATTGAAGGAGATTCAAAGCTGGTTTTAGGATGGCTACAAAGAGAAGGGGCAATTTGGTGGAACTATAACAATGAAAAGAAGAAATTCAGGTGGCTTAGAAAAGGCATGGAAGTGAGACTGCATTGGGTAAAAAGAAGTGCAAACTCCATTGCCAACAGCTTGGCCAAACAGGGGGTGGGGAGAGATCGACTCTTTTGGGCAAAGCTGTAAGATAATGGAAATGTTTTGTGGAGAGAGATAAGAGGGTTTATCTCTCACTGTTTATATCTTTAATTGTACTCACTGCTTTATTATTAATTAATGAAGTCTATAGTTATTGATAAGAAAACAGCAGAAAGAATACAAAATTTGAAGCAAAAGAAAGGAAAACCTCAGCTGAATTTTGTTTTGTTTCAATCAGATTGGCTCTGCAGATGAAGATTGGGAGATTCAGATGGGGATTTATACCATCTACAGCCTGATTGTTCAATCCAGCTAACCACAGCACCATAGAAATATAACATTTGAAGATCTAAATGAGAACTGATACCACCTACAGCCCAATTACTATGGTACACTACAAATGCAGGATATAAATATCTAAATGGGGATTGGCACCACCTATATCCTGACAATTCAGTCCAGCTGACTACGGTTCCCTAGAGGGCCTGTTACCATATTCGTGAAGTCAACTGGTATATTAAATTTTTCTATTTGTATCTCAATCTCTATAAATTCTACAAGGAGAAATGCAACAAGAATTCCCATTAGAAGAATTCTGTAATTGTTGATATTATATATGTTGGACTTTTTTATTCATTTGCTTCTTAAAGTTAGAAGCAAAGGATTTTTTACTGCCCTTTGCACCATCTATATGATACCCCGAATAGGCTTTACAAAAAAGTAATTAAAAACAAAATTATTTAATTGAGTGAATTAAGTTGTACAAGAACTTTATCAAATTTTCATACCTACAGTCTCTCCTAAAACCAAAAATCCAAAAGATCCCAACAGAATATCTAAAAACTAGTTGAATAATAAGGCAATTTTAAATGTAAAATATGTAGTGTCTATGAAAAGAAAGCATGAAGGATTCATTTCCCCATGAAAGGTCCTCAGAAGGATGGATCTACAAGGGGAGGGTAGAATTAACGTGAAAAATACTTTCATGCATATAGAAGATTTAAATGAGCTTCCTAAGCCTTGTTCTCTCACCACATAAAGGATCATATAGAATGAATCATAAGAAAAAGGCATGCAAGGGAAAGATGGGTCTCCAAGGGAAGGATAGAATTTTAGGCACATTTCCATTCATATCTTTTTTTCCAGGAATCCAAGAAGGCAAGAACACCTATATATATCCATGATAAATATCTTAAAAGTGACCAACAATCCCTTTATGCCAATGTCTTAGTTATCAACACTACCATTTTCTAATTCTTCCATATGGAGTCATATGGCTAATCCTATGCATCCATTGGATAGGAGACCCGGTGGATTGGCCACACCATTCCCCTGGTTCATGTCAACCCTATACCTTACGGTCCTTACCTTGCATTTGAGTTTTACCAAATAATATTGGCTATCCAAACTTTTCAATTTTTTCAAAATTTGAAAGAAGTCTGCCCAAAGGCTTTGACTGGACATGTAGCGAAGGCTTTCCAGAATGGTTTTTTATAGTGAACTGAAGAGGAAATTTTATCAAAGAAGAAAAGTCAGCAAACATACAAAAGGAGTGATAACACCCTACCAGTAAGAAACAAAAAGACAAAAATCAAGAAAACCCTCCCAACAGCTCTAGAAAAGACCAAAAGCCTGGCCCAAAAGACTCTCTATGAACATTAGCAAAATCAGGAAGGATCAATAGTCAATTAATAATTGTATTTCCATTTTCTGAGCATGGCTTCTCATGACTTTTTTGTCTATCTTCAAACTTCTTTCGTTCTTTTCTTTCCAGATACCTCAGCAAACTGCAAATGGAATGCGACTCCAGAAGATCTTTGCCTTCTTACTCCATGAATATAGAGAGAAAAGAGAAATATGTAGGACTCAAATTAGAAATGAAGGTTTTCAGTTTTTACTTTAAGAATCCCCACAAAGAAGGTTTGCCTGGATACATGGCAAGGGCTTCTAAGCTGAAATTTGCCCCATGAACAGGGAGCGAAGATAGGAATATGCAGGGAACAACAGCAAGCAAGATTCCTTGGTCATTTAGACTTTTTTGGTTCTTCCCCAGCCAATACAACCAGAAATCGCATTCCTTATGGCAATTTGAGAACTACAGAAATTGTTTTAGTATCAAAGGCACCATTTCTAGAAATCAGTGTACATTTTAGACTAAATGTTCCATAGTACCACAAAACATCCAGACCAGAAAAAGGAAATGGGATCAAGCCCATTCAGCAACACTCTTATGATTCAATATAATGAGTGAAAAAGTATTGCTAGCAGTTGATCCAATGTGAACCATTTTATTACCAAAAACTCTCTGAAATTAGAAAACCATTAAGTCCAACTCATAAAACATCATTATACATTTAAACCAAGTGCTACAAAACAACTACAGGAAAGCATCATACCAGTCCTTTAAGCCTAACAGAAACAGGCCTTCCATCTAAAGCATCCATTACTCTAGATGAGATTCTCTGCACAGAATTAAAAAATACACATATAACTTAGAGGTTAGCTTTTGGCTAATAACATCATAAATCAGCACAATTTTACCTGCAAAACCTCAGTAGCTGCAGCAACACGTTCCTCATTCCACAACTTCAGCATGAGTACAGTTAAGTGAAACGTTTTTGGTTTAATAAATATAGATCTCTCAATTCCCAAATCTGCAAGGAGAAAAAGATTCATTAAAAACCCATGATAGAACAAGAACAGAAGGATTGTTGCAAAAACTCCAAAAGGTTTGTATATGTAAGGTACAAAGTGTAGATTCCAGAAAAGAAGGGAAATGGGCTAGAGAGATACATCTGTG